CACCTCCTTCTTTCGCAAATATCTCGACTTGTATTCAAGATAAATGGATATTTTTCCATCCAAATAAAGACAAGTAAACAAGCTTTAAGATGATACCAAACAACTCTACATGCTAAAAAATTGACGAGAGCCTGATTCCACCACGCTGCCTCGCATACTATTCTGTGGTGTTCCACTATATCTATATCCATGGGAAGACATGGAATAACACCAAGAGTCTAGCCCAGGATAGAGAAAGGTGGAAGGTGTTTGTCCGTGGCCTATGCCCTGGTGCAGGGTGAGAAAGGCAATGATGATGATAACTATATCCATACCAGCATCTGTGGTACAGCGGTTAGGCACTTCGATGTTGCATGAAGGAGACTCGGGTTCGAATCCTTTGTTGGGAGAATTTTTATCGAGTATCTTGGTCTTTCTGTAGGGATATTATTATATCTCAGCTCGGGTTGTTCCTTATAGACAGGATCAAAGCCCGCCTCTTAGTTTAGTTTAGTTTTAGTAGAGGTTTTACGGCGCTCGCGACTACATACGGTCATAATATGAGCGCCAGAAGATTAGAGGTGTTACAAGAGAGAAACATAAAAAAGAAGAAGGAGAGATAAGGACTATAGATGTTTGATAGATATACTCAATACAAAGTTTTATGCAGTTGGGATCTTGGATTGAATAGATAAATGACCTACTCCTTCATGACTCTGAGTTCGATTACATAACTATCCATGTAATTCACTTAAATCAGTTTGCTTTTCCATGGGCATAAAGTTAGGTTATGGGGTGAATACCAGGCGGTGAAAATTGTTTGATAGGAAAGAAGGAGCAAATCACATCAGAACACCCGCCAACCACCCACAAAGCCCGCCTCTTAAATGATCTAAATTGTATCGATTGGGCATTAGAACACCCTTATTATTTTAAAAAGGAAAAATAAACAAGGAAACGGACAACAGATAAGCAAAAAAACAAACAAACTAACAAACAAAAGAAACCGTTATCCATTTGAATATTTATGTTTTGCATACTAAAATGATGTTTTCGATGTTTAGGTGAGTCGCCATGTCCTGACAGCCAACGTGCGGGTCGTCATAACAAAATCACTCCTTCAGCAAAATTCATCAACCCAATTAATTATGTCAGAAATTGAGAACATGAGATGACGAGTCCGTTCACCATTCCCAGGGTCGTGGCGACTCTACATTGCTGAACGCTGCAACACCTGTTTCCTTTTGTTATTTTGGAAAGCGCTCGCAACTGCATAAGGTCATATGAAACCCCCCCCCCCAGGTGAAAATGGGTACACAGCTATAGACAGTGAAAGATCTTGTCCGTTTGTTAGTGTTTGAGGGCTTAACCAGGTGCTTGCACTGTATGCTTCCCGGGAAGCTGAGAATTATTCTGAGTGTTGTATGGTCTGCTGGGGTAATAATATAGTGTAAAGCGCATAGAGCTTGCTTTTGAGTTGGGACATGCGCTATACAAATGATGTTTCTTATTATATGTACCCGGACGCGGTGGAATCAGGCGCTCGTCAGTTTTTGAGCATCTCGGAGTTATTGATATCACCTGATTACATATTCATTTGCCTTGCTTTCAATGAAAGAAATACTCATCCATTTCAAATAAAAGTCTAGATATTTGTGATTGAAAGAGGTGGGTCATCAGGTTTCAGTGTTAAAAATTACCGAGAAAATGGCCGTGGAAGTTCGGTAACTTCAATAGCTTGAGAGTCCTTGAAAACTAAAAAAATTACAAATTTTGTGCCTTTAATCAACGTTTTTCAGTAACATTAACATGGAAATGTGTTTTTCTATGAACATAGGTGTTGCGTCAAAAAACGAAAATTCAATAAAAATTGCCAAACTGACTGAAAAAAGCCTGTTTCTTCGGATTTTATCATTTTGACGAGCACCTGATTTCACCACGCTGCCTCACATTTGATACGAGTACACGGGACATAGAAAACACTTTCAGTTTTGGTAGGAATTAATACAGAATTTTTCCCGGAGGCTGCCGAAGCCTACTCTTGTCGATTTTTGGACCGCCAAGGGATCGTCAACGTGCGCCACTTGCACACGGTACCTCCCCCAGATTTTTTCGCCCTTTTCCGAGAAGGCTAAGTGTTACCTGCCTTAAGATCAGGAGTCTGGCTGAAGGAGCCAGGAGTAGCAGTAACAGAGTCAGGAGCCCAGAGGAAAGGGGGAAAAAGGGGGGGGAGGCAAAAAGTGAAGATGAAAGCAGATGACAGAATATGACCATAGAGCCTGAAAGTAAATGAAAGAAGAACATTATAGAAAAGAACATTTATTTTCTGTCGTCGTCATGTTTTTAACCCGGGATCTATTGAATGAGAGGCGCACACCGTAACCTCTAGACCACCAGAGACCACAAGCTGTTTCCACCACTGACGATCATGGGCAAGGGCTTGGGTTGTGGCAAAGCTCTTCCTGATCCATTTGGCAATGTTGTCCGTCCATTTCTTCTTTTTCTCCTTCTCCTTCTCCTTCTCCTTCTCCTTCTCCTTCTCCTTCTCCTTCTCCTTCTCCTTCTCCTTCTCCTTCTCCTTCTCCTTCTCCTTCTCCTTCTCCTTCTCCTTCTCCTTCTCCTTCTCCTTCTCCTTCTCCTTCTCCTTCTCCTTCTCCTCCTCCTCCTCCTCCTCCTCCTCCTCCTCCTCCTCCTCCTCCTCCTCCTCCTCCTCCTCCTTCTCCTTCTCCTTCTTCTTCTTCTTCTTCTTCTTCTTCTTCTTCTTCTTCTTCTTCTTCTTCTTCTTCTTCTTCTTCTTCTTCTTCTTCTTCTTCTTCTTCTTCTTCTTTTTCTTCTTCCCTGAACGGTCCTTTTGGGGGGAAGGTCTTAGATAAGCCACTGGCTCTTGTCTCATGACCATATCGCTGAAGTTTTTATTTTTTTATTTTAAATGTCGGACGGTGATTAGCAGTTCTACAAAATGTGGGGTAGTATGGTGAAATCAGACGCTCGTCAAAATAATGAAAATGAAGATTCTAGCATTTTCCCGCAGGTTTGAAAAATGTTTATTGAATTATTGTTTTTTGGCTCAAAGCCTTCCATGTCCATTAAAGAACACATTTCTGTGTGGATTTTTACTGAAAAACGTAGATTAAAGGCATACAATTGTTTCAATACCCACGGACTCTCTAGTTAAGAAAATAACTAAACTTTGGCGGACATTTTCTCGCTAATTTTACCTCTGAAACCAGGCGACCCCACCCCTTTCAATCAGCGCCAACTAAAAATCACAAACTGTCAGTAACTGGGCTCAAAGACCGTATCATTGACTGGGCTCGTCCTTGGCTCTAACCTTGACCTTAGGCTTGACTTTTTAGCAGACTTGCTTTGCCAAAATTGATACCAACCGCCGCCAATTTTGGCCATGAAAAAAATCGCTCTGTCATAATATTCGTGACGAATAAACCGTTTCTTCCACAACTATTACATCCACCACAAGCAACAATAAAAACAAAATTCTTTGGGGGTAAGAAAAACATTTATTTTCAAAACTAAAAAAACAGTAATATTGTTATAAAAAACATTATCACAGTCAGTACAAAATGTCAACAGTGGTTTTGAGGTCACCAACAATAACAGGTTTCACCCACAGCTTGAAAGAGTGTCGAAAAAAAGTGCCAGCATCTCTGTACTGAAGACGGTAAAAGTAAAGTTCAGCCCCCCCCCCCCTCCATTCAACATTTCTTTGTTTGTAAATAGGTGGCGGGTGCTCTGGTGTGGTTTGCTCCTGCTTTCCTTTCAAATATCTATCGTCCTTATCCCTCCTCCCTTTTGTGTCTTTTTTACTCTCTTGTAACACCTCTAATCTTCGGCACTTATAGACCAAATTGTGCTGCAAGTGCCGTATAAAAACTCGTACAAAAGAAACCAACACCTTTTGACCAAATAGGGGCATTGTGTGCTTCCACTATCCATGGGACCACGTTTGGGTGCGCGTAAAATGTTTTTAATTTATTTTTCCGAATAGAGGAGAAATGTTTCAAATTTACTTTTACTATTTGTGTCAGTGTTTCTCTATCGTAGACTATTCTGTGAAACTTTAAGAAACGAGTCCAGGAGATAGTTCCAGAAACCAAGCAGCGAGTTCAGCTGCTCGCCACAGGTCAACATCACCTTGTACCCTGTACACACTGTCAATCGAATTCAGTCAAACCGATTCAGAGCCGCCCAGATTTTTCTTCATGCAAGGGCTCAAGCGACAAATTTGGCACAATTTGATTGAAATCCTCCAAAATCAAACACGTTTTTTTTTCTTCAAAAGATTGAATCAAACTGAGCCACAAAAATGGCAGCTTTTGTCCCCCAATGAAGGAAAATCGTAACCGGCCCCGACTGAATCAATCAACTGTAACAAATGAACAATATGCACTGGGTATGAAGCAGCTAGCATACGGCACGATTAGTCTATTAACTAACAAGTGCATGACAATTAGTATTGTACGTAAACATGTTAACCAAGATGTTGGGGTTTTTTTTTAACCTAAAAGGAAAAAATGCAAGGAGGGGGGGGGGGGGGGGATGGTTGAGACCAAAAAAAATCTACAGGAAATGCCTTTGGTGTCTGTCTTCGTCCGACAATTTTATAGATGTAATACAGCAATGCATTTGCAGCCTTTTCCCAACTGAATAGGCCGTATGTTATTTCAGATCCAATGCTCTCTAGGCCCACTTCATTGGACGCCATTTTCCCACCTAAATGTTGCTATAATATCACATTCCTTCTATTCTCTTTTTCCTTAGGTTTCTATCAGAGTTTCCGGAAAAACGTTGACGACACCTGTACTAGGTAGCACTTTGCCCTATTTTTGGCAGTACTCGCAAACAGCAGACTATAACATAGACTGTGTATTACGTAATCGGCTTTCGCTGCTTGACTTGGAAACAGATTTCAGGTATCGCACATAAATCTTGAACAATGCATTCGTTGATTTTGATACTTTAAAACTCTAAGAAATATTATCTACAGATTCTGACTGGCTTGTGGAACGGGAAGTCGTACAGATATTGCTGAGAATGGAATGTAATAGAAGTCACACGCGAAAGATTGCAAGTTGTGGCTCTTTATACGTTTCATTACATTTTTTTGTTTGTTGTTTAGCTTATGAATAGAAAAAGCGGTGCAGAAACAATGCAGTCCAGATAAATAATGTCAAAAGCTGTAACCATACACAAATGCCTAAGCAGAATAATAACTTTCTCATTAGTTTTCAAAAATAGTCCAACCGGGCAAACATAAATGAAAATGCCATCAGCATATTATAAAAGAGAAACGGATCTATGATCAACCCACACATTCTAGAATGTAAGGATTTTGTCTTTCATATATATCACAATAACAATGTAGAGATTTAGAAAAATAATAGGAAAATATAAATAAGAAAACGTTAAGACACAGTGTAGGTGACCACTATTGTGGGCCAACATAATAGGAACGGATTCATAACAAGATTATAAATAAAGCAAGAAAGGCCATTTAATTTCTCGTAAAAGTAAATCAGGCATAGAGATCTAGCATTGTACAGATCACACAGCCAAAGGCATGGCCGCCGCCAGCAGGAGAAGACAGAGTGTCCAGATACTGACCACCACACCAGAGGCGCCTGGGGAGAAGAAAGATGTACAAGCTAAAATAAGGTTTTATGGCAATATCGACACTTATTAGTCATAAAAAAGACATGAAGTATAGTACTATCAAAGATCGTACGTAACAAGACTTCACTCAGCCAAAAAAAAGTGTCCGCGGAAGTCCGCACGCACAATGGTTCAGATGGTGCTGCAGTCTTTGTTTCGAAGCTCTAAAACAGCACCTGGACATGGCTTTCTGGTGCCTCTATTAATAAATTTTTGATGGTCAGGTTTTGAACCTCTCTTTCTTTCCTCCAGAAGAAGAACAGGAATAACACAGTTAGTTAGTTTCACTTTTATTGTTTTTCACACAAGTAGAGTAACTCTGGGGGCTCTCGTGGCCTAGAGGTTAAGGTGTTGGCCTCTCATTCAAAGGTCCCGGGTTCGATTCCGGGGGGCGACCAAAAAAATTTTCTTCTCTAAAATTGTCTCCTTTCACATCCTTTCCTGATCTCTAACAATG